GTGGTATAGTTCAAAGTTCAAAAGTTCAAAGTGGAGTTTATTGTCATTTCAGCCATCTACAAATACAGTATAGTGCAAGTAATAGACAAATGAGGTAAGATGGCAGTAAAGTGTTGTGTGGGCATGACATTAAAATGCGCAGCATGTCATTCATTAATAAATGAAACATTGTAATCACTGGCAAACCACTGTGGTATAAGTGGGCTAAGACACGACCAAACTTATTGTAATGTTGTGTGACTTTATTTTTGTTTTATAAATTATGTTTTACTCAGACATTAACTAAAATTATATATTATCTAAAATTAAAGGTTTTTATCAAGTGCTGTTGGCCTCTTGTTTCTGTTTTTACAGGGCATCACTCTAAAAATGAACGATCTGAACCACTGCATTGTAGCTCGTATTATGCATGGAGGAATGATCCACAGGCAAGGTATAGCTGTCTGTCATTACTGTTCCACATAACAGAGGTTACTATTTGAGGGCTTGTTTTTGTTTATAACTACAATTTCTGCTTTATAATGAATTTTCCAGTTTGCACACACCATAGGAAGAGTTGCTAGATTTATGTTCACTGCATATGTGTGAATTACAGGAACGCTGCACGTGGGTGATGAAATTCGTGAGATTAATGGCATCAGTGTAGCCAATCAGACAGTGGAGCAGCTTCAAAAAATGCTGGTATGTGGAAAACATACTCAGCAAATATATGGCCATGGTTAGACTGCTTTTCCTTTGGTTAAGAATTAATATGAAGATGGCTCAGTTGTTGCTCTTACTTACTCTAGTGTTTAAGAACAAGTGTAAAGAACCTGATCCTTACAAAACATTTTTAATAATACACAGAGGGAGATGCGTGGGAGTATCACATTCAAGATTGTACCAAGTTATCGCAGCCAGTCCCTGTCTTGTGATGTAAGTGTCCCTATATAATAATAATCATAATAATCATAATAATAATAATAATGGGGGTTTACATTGTCACACACTGTGGTCACACTCTGATCCTTCTCTATTATTATGAATAATAATATCAAGTACCCCATCCTCCTCTCTTGTCTCTCTTCTAGACAGTTTAATAAGTGTCTCTGTGTTTTATTTGCCATATTGATAAATACTTTATCCTCCTACAGAAGGACTCACCTGACCTGACCAGACATTCTCCTGCCAACGGTCATGCCAGTGTCACCAGCTCCATTTTGGTAAGTGATTCATTTAGAATTCTGTTTCAGTTTGATTGCTGTGGTGGGTTTTGAAAGTAATCAGACCCCTTCAGGTTTTTTTTGCACACTTTATTGTGTTATAGGTTTAATTTAAAATGGATTAAATGTACTTTTCCAATGAAGCTATACACAATAATCCATAATGACAAAGCAAAAACAAGTTTTTAGACATTTTTGCAAAATTTATTAATAATCAAAAATAGCTTCGAGTCTTCAAGGGTAGGTCCCTACAAGCATTGCACACCTGGATTTGGGCAGTTTCTCCCACTGTTCCTGGCAGATCTTCTCAAGCTCAGTCAGAATAGATGGGGAGTGTCTATGTATTGCAATCTTCAGGTCTCTCCACAGATGTTCTATGGGGTTCAAGTCTGGGTGTTGGCTAGGCCACTTAAGGACATTCAGATCCACTGTAGGGATGGTATTAGACAGTTGATGAGCAGATGTAGCACTTGGAGTTCAGCCCAAAAAGATCAGTTTTTGTCTGTAACCTTCTAGCTCAGTTACTGAGTTTGACTGGATGGCCAGCTCTAGAAAGATTAAATTAAATGTGATTTTTTTTTTATCCCCCTGCCCAGATCTAGAGTACTGTGCAAAAGCCTCAGGCAGATGTAAAGAAATGCTGCAAAGCAAAGTTGCCTTAGAAAAAATGAAATTAACTGTTTTATACATAAAAAAAAATTGGTAACACTTTATTTTAACGAACACATATTAGGCCTTAATAAAGGCACTGTTCTTTGTTCATTAAAGACCAAATTAGACACTTTTAAATGATTTATTCACTATAACTTAGACTTCATTCATAAACACTTGTCATTCTTCTTTTGGCTGCTCCCGTTAGGGGTCGCCACAGTGGTTCATTCGTCCACATGTTTGATTTGGCACAGTTTTTTACGCCGGATGCAAATCTTCCCAATTTTATCCGGGCTTGGGACCGGCACTGGGAGTGCACTGTATTTTGCAACCTCAGTGGCCGGGGTGGGTTCCCTGACCAGGAATCGAACCTGGGCTGCAGCGGTGATAGTGCCGAAGCCTAACCACTAGTCCTTCAGGGACCATTCATAAACACTTGTATTGGTACGTAATTGGGGATCTGTTTTTTGCAAATGACCGCTAAATTATTAAATGTCCTTGTTATACAAATAATTGAGCATGAATTACTCACTTTCATTCACATTTTATTAGTGCATAATTGGCAACATGTTATACCTGTAGACTTCTGAAGGCACTTATACTAAAATATGTGTTCCATATTCTAGATTCATAGACATTTCAATATTAAAGCTTTAAATAAAAATTCTAATATTGTTTAGGTAATTCCCTATAGTGTCATATTTCATCAGAGACAAACGATTGTCATTTTAGCTTTTGGTGGCCTTTTTTGAGGATGCAACATCTACCAGTATATTTCGCTACCCAAAAGACATAAAAGTATCTTGAATTTAGAATAGGGGACACAACTTGTGTAGTGGTGTTTATCTTCTAATTAGTAACTTAGACTTCAGAATATGGGACAGATATTGTAGTATTAGTGACTTATTCAGCTTTTCTAAGCTCTTAAAATAAACTTCAGGTCTCTTCTACCTGGAATAAACAGATATAACATGTATTGTATAGAATACTTCGAAAGTATTGGAATGGCAAGGCCAACTCTTTTATTTTTAATATACACTGAAGAAATTTGGGTTTCAAAAGATGGCTATGAGATGATTAGATCAGAATTTCAGCTTTCATTTCCTGTTTTTTACATCTAGGTGTGTCGTACATGTGAACAACTACAACCTGGCACCTTTTGTTTTTTTGAACCCACCCATTTTTCTGTTTTCCTGTTAGATTGATGATTTAAACAATTAATAGCTCAGAATGTCTCTTCTGGGTTTGAGCCCTGGGTTTTGCCTATGAAGACTGCATTTTTTGTTAAGAAGAATAAACCAACATGAAGACCAGAGAGTTGTCTATGGGAGAAAAGCAAGCCATTTTGAAGTTGAGACAAGATGGAAAATTGATAAGAGTCATTGCACAATCATTGGACATAGCCAATACAACCATATGAAATGTCCTGAAAAAGAACGGAAACATTGGTGTACTAACAACCAGACATGGAACAGGTCGGACAAGGAGAACAACAGCAGTTCATGACAGAAACATTGTGAGAGCTGTGAAGAGAAACCCAAAAACAAGAGTCAGTGACATCACCAGCAACCTTGCCAGGGCAGGGGTGAAGGTATCACAATCCACCATTCAAAGAAGACTTCAAGAACAGAAATATAGAGGCCATACCACAAGACACAAACCACAAATTGGAATTCACAAGGATAGACAGTTTGTGATCAAGTCCAGGTACGTGATCAGTAAGATGGCGACTGAGAACATGACAGAGTTTGGTGTGACATGTGACTTGGGTGTTGTAGGCCATGGTGGCCTTTTCTGTAGGCCACGAAGCAGGAGTTGTGGTTCATGGCACGTTATATTATTATTATTATTATTATTATTATTATTATTATTATTATTATTATATCAAGTTAAAAGCACTGCGCAAATCGAGCTTAGTGAAAATCTTGGCCTCACAAAGCTGTTCCCATGCTTGGCCTCACAAAGTTGTTCCAGTGAGAGTAACAATACTTGAGAGTGATTTGGTTGAGGCCACAATAATCAATCAATGCAAGGCCTGAGGCCACCCCTTTTTTCTCCATGAAGAAAAAGCTTCCCAATGCTTGTTTCAGGGCCTCCTTAATGTACTCATCCATAGCTTGGCTTTCTTTGGTGGAAAGGAGGCATGGAAGCTGCTATGAGCTCTATAGTGCAGTCATAGGAATGGTGAGGGGGAAGGTCGCTGGCCTTAGCTTTGCTGTACACTTCCTTTAAGTCCTGGTACTCAGAAGGAATTTCCACCTGGGAGTTAGTCTCAAGGCTTTCAACTGAAGAAGAGCAGGCGTTTGGAGATAGTGAGTGCAATAAGATGAGAACCAGCGGGTGATTTCTCTCTCTGCCCAGGAGATCTGTGGGTCATGGGTGTGCATCCAGGGGAACCCCAGCACAACTGGAAACTTGACTGTGATGAGCAGTGAAATGTGTTCTTGGTGAAAGGCAATGATGTGAAGCATGAGAGGTTCAATATGGTGGGTTATTGACCTTCCTCCTATGGGTCCCCTGTCCAGGACTTGGATGGGCAAGGGGTGTTTGAGGGCCCAGGGGGTCAGGTTTAATCTTTCAGCTAAACTTTTGCCGGTTGTTGCAGAGCTGGTCAAGGCTGTAACAGTAGAGAGATCTTGTAAATGCCTTATCTGAACATGTTTAGCAAAGTTTGGAGGAGATAGGAATCTGGAAGGTTGGGTGGTGGTCTAGAGGTGCACTGTGCCACTTGGTGCTTGGGACTGCCACAGTAGAAACAGAGTCTATCCTTTTGACACCTTTGGCATTCCACAGAGGTTAGCTTGGCTTGGCTAAGTTGCATTTTCTATGAAGTACTGGGTTCATGGACGGGATTCAGCTCAGCTTTGCGTCCCGCTCGTATCTTGAGCAGGTGTTCTAGGCAAATTGTCAGGTCGATGAGTAACTCTAGGGGTGCTTGGTTATAATGGCATGCCTGCTCTGTGAGAATGTCCTGGTGTAAACCCTGACAAAAAACTGCCTTAAGTGCTGGTTTGTTCCAGGTGCTGCCAGTGGCTAGGGTGCGGAAGATGAGTACAACCTCAATGGCACTCTGATTACCTTGTCAAAGGGACAATGTTAATCTCTTTGCCCTCTGGAGAGTGGTCGAACAGGCGTTGAAACAATTCAAATAAGCAGTTATAGGAGGTTATATGCTCCCCTCCTTGCACCCAAAAAGCACAGGTTAGCGCTTTGTAGGTCACCAGGTTGATGAATTGAGCGATTTTGGTTTGCTATGTGACTCTGTCTTGACTTGGGAATTACAGAGAACATTGTAGCATGAAACCCTTGCACATGGCTGAATCACCTGAATACTTGTCAGGGTGAGCGATGAGCGGAGGAGATTGGGAATGTGCTGCTGGTGTAGCTAGTGGATGTTTCAGCATGATGAGCAGCTGAGCTAGCTGCGCAATGATCATGGCTATCTCCAGCGAGTTGGGCCTTGGCCCGCTATAGCCTATTGCCAGACCAGCATACCTGCTGCCTCCATATAATGGTGAAGTATTGTGTCAGGTCAATGGTTGCAGCAG